GCGGCGGAGGGCAGGGGGTGGGGCTGCGGTAGCAGAGACGGCGCTGAGTGCATCTAATCGTGCAGTAAGTGCATATAATCGTGCACCTAATGCATACAGTCATGCACTAATAATATACAGCGCAATGCTCCCTGTGTCCTTCCCATGGGTGCCTTGAGTATGACTCCAGCTGCTCTGTGCTTTGCGTACGGAGTTAATCTCGGCCACACCTGATAACGAGCATTTGCATTGATACCATTGAAATCCTCGATGGCATGTGGAAAGCCACCTGCATGTGGCATCTGGCGAACGACGTGCTAAGCCACTGCTGCAAAATTCCTTCATAAAGACACATTAGTTTGGTCATCACAGCTTTGGAGTGAGTTGGCCCCATTTTGCAGGTGGGGGGGGGGCAGGCTGAGATGGTGGATGTCTCACCAAGGTTTGGCCCCTTTTTGCTGCTCCATATTACACTTTGAGTTGTTGGCTACAGGCAGCACTGAACCTCTTCTAAGCACAGCTTTGTTCTGTTCTCCTCTTGTCTGCACAGAGGTCTTCAGAAATCAGCTTAGACCCATCCTTGAAGCTTATTAGACAGACAAAACCAAACTTGCTCAAGCCACAAAGTAGACAGATGCTGCACGGCAGACACTAGCACTGAGATGTCCTGGGCTCTGCCACAGTGCAAAGGAGAGCTCAGTGTCAGTCACCAGCATTTTGTAACCAACAGGGTAGAGGGAAAGCACATCAATGAATTACCCTGCACAGGAGCCTGCTGCTCGTGTTAGTGGAGGCACTTGGTCTGGTCTCCTGCAAGTTCTCAGACATATCACGGCAGGGTTGTGTTAAGGTGGTGGGGGACCCTGGGCAATGAAGGAATTTTGGAGCAGTGTCAGCTGGTGCCTGGATCAGGTGCCGGGCTGGCACGAACTCGGATCTTTTCCTTTGCTGCAGGCCCATCGGCGGCTGTGGGAGATGCTGCCCAGGGCTGGGGTCTGCTACTTCCCGTGGGAGATCAACAGCTCAGTCCCAGAGGGGGAGGCACTGAGGACGTTTGGCCGGTGAGAAGGGTACCCCGGTCTCCTTGCAGGCCAGGCTTTTCCATCACTGTCCAGCCCTTGCTCCCTTTCTTTGTAACTGTTGTATCTCTGCACTGCTGAGCTTCCCAAATCGATTGCTCCCAGGTTACGCTGTTACGACCTGGCCCGGTCCGAAGCCGTTCTCACCGCTCAGCACGGCTCATCCCAGTACCAGGTCTGTGTCAACACCAAGTTTGTGGAGCCATTCCAAGCCCAGCTAGGATCTTGCTACATGGTCCTGGGAGAAGCTGAACACGGGGAAGGTAAATGCTCCAGGTACTGGAGTATCCAGGTGGCTGGGTTGGTCTTTGCCATCCTTGAAAGGTTGTAGTTATGCCCCTGCCCTCAGACACAGGGCATGAGGAACGCAGGCAGGCTCTGTTGCACAGGGCTCCCTGCTATCCTGGCGCCTTGGCCAGCCGGAGCTGTGTGCTGCCTGAGG